GGGGTATTTCGCTCAGGAAATTATGGATTTTAATACTCGAAATTATTGGAAGTTTATGAGAGTTTCACCGAACAATTGTTATAACTTTAGGGCCGAACGCCATTTGTTTCCGAGTCGCATTGTTGATTATCGCGTGAAATATCAAAGGCAACCGGTTAAATCCTTTTTATCGATTTTCTGAATAGCTCTTCGGCCAATTTGGTATTTTTTTTTTCTTTTTAAATTTGAACCCTAATTTAACGAGACGGTTCCACTTACGCGTTGATTGCTTCACTTTGACCACAGGTAAAACGATCGATGGAGGAAAAAAAAAAAAAAGAGAGAGAGAGAGAAAAAGTACCGGACTTCTCATTCGCGATTTCGGTCCCCTGGCAAAGTGTCCAACTCTGATTGCGCCTATTGTCACGGCCTGGCGTCGCGAGGACGCGCTGATTCGGCACGATTTTGACACTTGTCCCAAAAGCGTACGACGTGTATATATGTATACGTGCTCATAAATACACGTCGAAATCATGTTTATCCGGGTATTCGGGGGAACGAGGACGTTCCCTTTACTCCTGGCGCTCCCAGTTCCCGAGGGAGCCCCTGGTGCATCGGCGGTCGGTTTCGCGGATTCGGCCCGGTCTCGCGGGAAGTAACGAGAGGCCGTTCCGTCGGGTTTCCTTTTGGACACGCCTCGGTCGGATCTCTCTTTTTCCCGCGGGAGAGGCCGCCAGGAGGCCCCTCGGCGAGTATCGAGGGGGGACCCCATTGTTCTACGTTCGCGTATATCGCTAAACAGTTTTCCGCCCCGCTCTTCCGGCCTGGCCGGGTTTTCTCTCGCTTCGCGGAACTCGCTTCTATGGAGCCAAGCGTTTCTCCCCGCCTTCCCCCGGGAAGACTCGCGGAATCGAGAGAGCGACTCCACACCGCGGGCTTTCTCCGCTGCGCGGAAAACTAGCCCTGCGAGCGCGGTTCCTCTCCATTCTCTCCATTCTCTCCATTCTCTCCTTTCTTCGATTCCCATCCAGATTCGAGGTTTCGCCTCGTCCTCGTTTTTCCTGAATGCTTGTGCGTTTGTTGCGCAGACTTCGTCCGGTTCGCCTGCGGAACCAGTCTCGCCCGAGAGTGAAATAAAGCTTTCCGTTTCGTCGTGGATCAGGGCTCGAATCGCGAAGCGTGACCGTGAATCCTCGCGCGTCTCACCCGTGAAATCACCCCGGCTCTTCCTCTCCGCGCCTCCACCTCCTTTCGGGCCTATCTCGCCCGTTCCTCCTCTTCCAGGCTCGCTTCGAGAACGGCCTGGTTCCGCAAACTCCGGACCGGAATTCCGCGACCCTTACCTCCGTCGGCGGAAATCTTCCCTCCGGCGACACGTGGTTAACACTTCCGACAAGCCTGGCGAGCATATCTATCACCGGTACTCGCTAAAAGTTCGATTGTCCAATTCTAAAATGTTTTTTTTTTTCTCTCCACTCGAACGATCTATCTCGCATGCCGTTGGCGAACTGCCATGTTTCCATACTTTTTTATAGTACCGCCGTGAATCACGGCCTTTCGTAACGGCCGCGACATGTTGCAACGGATCATCGGAAAGATGTCTTAGTGACGTTAATGGTATATCGGAGGATTGGAACCGCGGCGAGGAATATATAATTCTTGTTAACGCCGGGAAAGAGGTGTACGATCGAGAGATACGATCATCGGTGATTCACGCCCATTGTGCTCGGAGAGGAGGAAAATTGGAAAAAAGGGATCGCGCAGGAGCGTAATCGCGAACGATGTTAATCGGTATCTCTCTAATTGTTAACGTTTTCCATTCGAGTACGGGGGGGGTTCAATTTGTTATTCGAGGTGGGGCGGGTTCAATTATTCTCGTATTTTCGATTTTCGCGGAATCCCCGTCGTCGAGTCGAATTAACCCGGTTTATCTGTTATCGACCGCGTCACGTCCAGCTGCTCGCAGAAAGATCCCTGGCTGGAGCGTCCCCGTTAAACCGGGTGCATAAATCGGCGGTAAACTGCGGTACAATGGAACGGCCAGGGTGTAACGACCGAGAAAATCCTGCCGATGCGGAAAATCCATCCCTGTTACGTGAACGCGGAGGGAAACGTTGCGAATTTCTTGAGGGAATCCCGAATATTCACGAGGCAAGCCACCCGGCCACCGGCACGTCGAGTTCCATCCATCTCTCCGGGTGCTCTCGAAGAAGCCGCGCAGAGAAAGCGAGGCATTCGTCTCCTTTCCGCCGTCCCGTCTCTTCCCGGAGTAGCGTTCCCCCTCCGCCGAATCGTTTTCGCGAGTCGTCCATCTTCCGCGATTTAATATTTCCAGGAGCTCTCCTTGTCCGAATTCCGTGGCGCGCGCCGTGTCGCTTTTTTCCCCGGTCTCTTCCTGGCGTCCTGGGAGGGAGAGAGAGGGCGCGCGCGGGGTCGGAAGGCGAAAGACGGAGACGGCAATGCGGCGGGCCGCGGGGGGGATCCGGGGGACGGCGGTCCCTCTGCGCGTGCGCCTTGACGCAACGATAGGGGTGAACTCGGCGAACCGGTTCAGTATCCACCCGACCATCAGCTGATCGATATACTCCCGCGAACGCGCGACCCACGAGCACGCATGTCACGCGTGTGCGTCACGCGTACCCCCGCGAGGCCCCCGAACTCCGTGACCGCCGCCACGTGCCCCCCTCGGTCGATCTGTCAGAACTGACAGCTGTCATCGGCCCCACTCCCGTAGAGCTCGCCCCGCGACCCGGAAACATCTTCGACCCCCGGTGCTCCCCGGGTTTCCCCGGGTTTCCCTCTTGGAGGTACGCCTGGAGACGTTTCGATTTCTCCATGTTTCTTCCCCGTTTACACGTATCTCTCTCACCTCGCGAAAAATATTTTCGGTCCGTGGTACTTGTATATCATTTATTTTGTTTTATTTTTATTTCGAACAATGGGCTAGTCCTTGATATTTAGGGCCTCGTAGAAAGGCCAGGGCACGGCATGGGTCGCGTGGTAATTTAATGGTGTACCTGGTATTACCCATGGTGGACTATATGATTCCTGCACTATATACGGATTCTCTCGGTGCTCGGTCGCTCGCGAGTCTAATTAAACGCGGGTAATTGGTAGTATGGGCGTCGTTAACGCAGATCGATGCGTACATTCGTTATACGCGCTGGGTCAATATCGTTTACGCGAAACGCATTACGGGTACCGAGGTGCACAATGACGTTACGCTCGAGGAATCAATTGCATTCCAAACGCTTGTTTTAACATTAATCAGCCTCGGCTCATTAAGTCCGATTAGTCGTTCGCTTAATTCGCGGAAAAATTCGGCGGTTTTGGAAATCCCCGAATGCGTCTTGGCCACTTTAATCGAATATTTCACATTTCTGGAAATCGGTCCTCTCTTTTCCCCAAATTTTTCCGAGTTCGTTTTTCCATTTCCTTGAGATCATAGATTCCATCGTAACGTCGAAGAGTCCATCTTTTGAAAATAGTCTAATTTTTGTACGCGAGTCTCGGCCGCTAGTGCGGAATCGCCGTCGATGCCCGGCGGAAAAATCGATCGGCCGTCGACGTCGCGACGCCTATGCACCTTCCCTCTTGAGACACTCACCGCACGTAACGAGACCCGGAGCGGTGTCACGATACGTGCGAGTATGTGGCCCCTTCCGTCTACCGACCTCTCGTCCAGGTCGAGAGAAACGAAGATGGGTGGAAGGAAAGAGGGAGAAGGCGATAAATCTTTCATCCGCGGGACGGAAATTTTCCCTCCGATCGAGATTTCATTTAAATGCCTCTTTTTTTACGTACTCGTCCAGGGTATCGGGAGAATCGCTCGAGAAAAGTGGAGGGACATCGTTTAACCGGTCGTTAGGAACGATCGCGCCGCTATCGGTGAGGTCGGAACACTTTAAACGTATATAATGCCGGTTATGTAAAGTTACATAAAGCTAGTTCCTCGCTTTGATGAATAATTCAATTTCTTTGGGGGTAGCGTCGTGCCGCACTTTTTGCTCGTTCCACCGGAACGCGAACCGATGCGCTATGAATCGCGCGGCTCGAAAAACCACGGGCTTCGCTTTGTGCTCGTAATTTCATCAGGATATCGTGCAATTCGCCGGACCGCTACCTCGGGGGAAAAAAAAAAAATATCGTGGTCGCGGTAACTTCGCCGGGTCTACCCGACATTCTGGGTCTGCGGTGCCGCTTACTACGATTGTGGTTACTCGCCCCGCTCACCGAGTAAATACGGCAAATCGTTAGTGAACTTAACTGCGGACTTGCGGTGGCCTGTCGCGCCCGCACATCCGCTCGCCAGGATAACCGGAGAAAATAGTTCCGAAGCATCGCTTACGTATCCGTCGGGGCTCGATGAAAGTCCTCACCTGGCCAAGAAGAAAAAAGATGCAGGGTCTCGTTATCCAACGTACCTACGCGAACGTCATTTCTCTTTGAAACGTCGGGGCTAGGTATGCCACATTTAAATTCACGTCTTCGTTCGTGGACAGTCGCCATAAAGAGGCTCCTTAGCGCGACCCTAAGCACGGGTGCACGCTCGAGTAGAGCCTGTTTGCTCAAACGTCACGTTCCCGGGCAAGGGTTAAAGTACTCGGCAGCACGAAGTCGTAGGTAGTATGCACCTCCGGGAGGGTGCGGTGGTAGCGTGAACCCTGAAACGACGGTCCCGAGTTTCGAGCCCCGTCGAGGCGCTCGATCTTTTCTTTTCTTTTCCTTCCGGCCGGACGGGGGGGTCGGTGGAAAAGTAAACAGAGGGTGGGAGGGAAAAGAGAAAAAGTGGCTTTTCACGGCTGGAAAAAGCGATGGGGCAAAAAGTGACGTCATCCGTGCCCTACCGAGTGCATTACGCGGACGCATCTCCCGTCCCCGCGCTCTGCCCCCCTCCGTGCGTGCGCTCTGCCCCCTCTACCGGCGGCCGAGCGGAGCGGCAACGGAGCGGCAGCGGGAAAGCCGAGTCGAGTGAAGTAGCGCCGCGGATTCTCGCTCGCTGCGCTCCCCGTTGCGCACCTTGCGCGCCTCTGCCTCGGTCCTCTCTCGGTAGTTTATTTCTCCTCGTCGCTGCATCTTTCGGTTTCGTCCGCGTTGGGGACTTAAGGGGAGTCGTGAAGTAAAGACGGAAGGTGCTAGGAAGGTACGCGGCCGCGGGTGGTGGAGTCGGCCGGAGAGCCAGCGGTCAACGGTCCCGTAGGGCGAGGTACCGGGTCTCGGCTTCTGGAACGACCGGTGGTGACTTCTTCGAGGATCGGCCAATCGAGACCGTCCTTCGACCCCATCCGAAACCAGAAGTCCGCCGTTGGCCGGCTAGCTTCCTGGCCGTGAGCGGATCGCCCGGCGTTCTTCGAGCTTAGGTCAGGGGATTACCAAGCTTGGTTCGCATCGGGTCGAACTTTGGCCTTGCTCGATACTTCTATCCGTTGCGGTATCCGCGGATTCCCCTCGATTCGGTCGGACGCGTCGGAACTCGCGCGAGCGTCCACGGTTTTCGCCCTTTCCGTTGGAGCCGGGAGAGTCCAGGAGTTCCGGCGGAAAGACGCGCTCCCATTGGCCCTGGCGCGCGCCGCTAGGTGGCGGGGGGCGCGACTCGGCTAGGCTCGCGCGCCGCCGCGTGCTAGTTGCCGCTGGCGCGGGAGGAGGGCGAGAGCGTCGCTCGGCCGCCCTTGAGGTTAGGTTGTGCGCCGCGCAAGAGAGAGGTGAGAGAGAGAGAGAGATTCTTTTAACGCCCGGAAATCTCGCGCGATCAAGCCGGGGTGCGTAACCGTCGCTCGCCGGGGAATACGATTCTCCTCCTAGTCGCGCTTTGACCTCTCCGCCGGTGTGTCGATACACGCGTACGCGCCCTACCTCGTGCGATTGGGAGGTTTAAACGCAGTGTCGTTTGTTTTCTGTGAGCAGGACCACGCAGAGGCAGTCCATCCCGAAGGATACAGAAACGCGAGCATCATTACCGGTGAGTGGACTCTTACTCTTCACAGTTTAACGGATTCCTCGGTGCACGAGTTTCATAAAACAGTCCTCGTGTGTAGTAATGTAGTCTATCGAGGAACGTTGCGTTGTAGGTTGTCCTGTATCGTTTGAACGAGATACAAGTAAACATAAACACCGAGGAATATGGGCGACGAGTACACGTAGATCGAGTCGGTCTGGAATTTATACCGGGATAAAGGTTATTTCATGTCGCTCTCGTTTACCGATATCCCAACGAGTCATGTACGAGTCCGTGAAATTAATTCCAATAACTCCCGTTCGTATACATTCATTTTTTTTTCTCCAAAGAAGAGATTTTTAAAACGGATCGTAGATCATTCCCAAGGGCGCTCGGAGTAGCTTGCAAACGATTCCATCGTCGGGTTTTCCTTTTTTCTTTCTTTCTCTTTTTCTTTTTCTTTCTCGCCAACCTCGTTCATCACCGCCATCGAAGCCGCGGCTTTTATCGCCCCGGTGACGTGCCCTCGCATCGATGAAATCTCGATCACCGGAAGTGGCTCTCGAAGGATAATCGGGAACTGCGAAAGGGACGAGGGGCGAGTGACCGTCCCTTCCCGCAAAACAATTCCCATTGACCCATTGTTTTTTTTTCCCCCATATTAAATAGGCGTGCGTAAGCGGAAGCTTCCAATTCGACCGTTCGCGACGATTCCTTCATCGTCAACGCCGTGACTTTGCTTCCGTGTCGGCGAGATCGTGATCGGGCGGGATAATCGGGCGAGTAGCGCGTGCCAGGCAAATGGATATCGGAAAGAGGCGAATGCGAAAAGGAAGAGTGAGGAAGAATGAGGTGGAGCGAAAGAGTGGTCCGACCGGTGTAACGGGACGTTACACCTTTCGGCCGGTGCAAGGGACGGGCTCTTGCCTCCTTGTCGCGTGTACTATTGTACATCGACCTCCTTCTTTTGCCTCCTCTTTCACCCCCCCCCCCCCCGGCCTTTATTGCCCCCTTTCGCTCTCGGCAGAGGCTATATAGGTCCGGGCACTGTCGCTCAAAAAGCGCGTAAAAAATCTCGGTAAGGGAGTAACCGCGCGTTATTACTGCCCACTGTGACAGTCCCGTCGTGCGCGGCCGTTCCACTTCTTTTTTTTTTCCATCCTCGAATTTTTATTATCCGGCTTTCTCCCGGGTGTGGGCACCGCTGTCGACATTGTTGCCCGAAACGCGCCAGCCCGAGAAGAAAGGACTTATGCAAATTTTAAATTAGCCACGAAAGCGGACCGGCAAACGCGTCTCGTCCCCCCTTTTTTCCTCGGGCGTCGTTAACCGCGTCTTCCCCCCCCCCCAGACGGAACCGAGTTAACGGTACCGGTCAAATTTATCGTGGGACGTATTTTCGCTCGCAAAGGAGCTTCGGACGAGGTGGGATCGTTCGTCGAAGGTTCAACGGGAAGGGACGGGCTTGGAAAGATATTTTCATCCTGACGATTTTTGGGGCTAGTGAAATCGACGGACGGTGGGATATTTTAATTCTTTTTTCTTTTTTTTCCCCCTTCGCGAACGTTTTCGAGTGCCCTCTTTTCTTCTGAATTTCTTCCGACTTCGGAGGAGGTTCGCGATAATTCGCGCCGATGTACGAGGGCTCGTCCCTCGGCGATGATTTAACGCGATCGGCGCCGGAGAGCTTTTCAGGGCACCCGGTCGGTTCCCAGGGCCCTCCGCTTGCCGAATTCACCCCAAACCGAGGAGGGGCCGACCGGGGCGCCGTTCGTTCCCTCTCGGGACGGCCGGGACCGGGACGCCCCCTCGTAGGGATTCTCACGCGGCGCCCTAAATAAATCCCCGCGGAAGCTTTCGCCGGCCAACTTGGGCACCGCGGATACCTTCGGGGGCCCGACTAGGCGTCTAACTTTAGGCCCGCGTGGGCGGCTCTTCGCCAGGTTATAAGCGGACGTAACGCACCGTTCCAGGGTCGCGACCGGGAACCTATACCGGGCCGAGCTGGAAATCGATATTCCTCAGGTTTGCGGACTTCCGAGGGGCCGAACAATGGACGTAGTTGCTCCTCTTCGGGGTGACACCCGGGCGTAGCCAGTCGCGTTAAGGCTGATCGCGCTGCCGCCGCCGACAAATAGGTTAGCGCTCGATGAAACGTGTATTTACTTGTAGTACAAATTAGTGCGGATCGGTCAAAGCGCCAACGTCCTCTTCCCTCTTCCCTCGGCCCCTCTAATTCTCCCGGCATCTCGCTCTATCCCTCCGATGCAACCTGCATCACGTTCGGCGGCGTGTGTGCTTCGCTCGCTTGGCGGATTTTCAACTCGGGAGCGTTTGAACGCGCCCCACCCTTTCCCTCCTCCGACCTCCACTGATACGACGTGCCCGGGTCTCCTCTCTTTTCCTGTCCCTCCGACCTCTCTCTCGGCACCTCGCCGATTGCTCGTGTACCCGTGGCCTCTCCTGGGACAGGTGATTCCGGATGCCCCGCGCCGTGATTAGTGGCCCAGCTTCCGGCGTGCCAGCTCTCCTCCACCCCGGTCGATCTCCGCGACATGGATCGGATTAAATTAGACCCCGCTGCGTCTGCCAAGTCGAGGTTTCCTCCCGATTAGGCCGGTGTCGTACTATTTTTTTACATTTTTTTTTTCTTCGGGGGTTTTCAGTTTTCCCAGACCGACGAAAATGACGGCCCGGTGACGTTTGTATTCGAGTTGATCGGAACGCTATGCGTTTTTTCCGCATACATCGCATGGCATGATAAGCAGAATCGGAGCATCTGGTCACTGCTCGAGGGAAATTGATGGTCGGTTTTCCATCTTTGCGGGTAATTAGAACGCGACGGTGCGCAGCCAATCGTGCAGGGTAAATGACGCCGGTCCGAGGAAACCGCGAAGTCTGAGAAAGGGATGGGGATGCTTCCTCGGCTCGATAAGTTTCCCAAGAGCGATTGGCCGGAATGGATTTCGTTAAATTTCACTCGATTAAAGTGCCCTCAAAGTACATTTTCTTTCATTAAAGGGCCCGCGGAAGTAAACCGTCAGTTCGACCGATTTAATGGGATGGCTCGATTGGGGGTTTCCTTCCGCAATTTAGATAGCATCCCGATTCGAAAGAGGTACCGATGTCTTAATCACTTCGGACCTTCGGGTCGATCTTCATTATCACGAGCAATTACTGTGCGGCGATGTGCAACCAATCGCGCCGATCGAGGGGAGTTAAAAGTTCGCGAAAGGAGTGATTAAATGTTAATGAATTCTCAAGATATACCCGTTTAAATCTAACAGGTTCCTTCCATTTAATTCCGACGGCTGTATCGTGTATTTTTTTTTCCCCTCCCGACCTTAATCACTGACTCATAATTTTTACACGTCAATCTCCATGTCACGGAATTTCGGATGACAGTCGAACGATTGAAATTAAAGCCAGTCTCTCTCCGTCGCAGCAATACTTTCCGCGATTTGTCAGTTCACGTTCATCGTTTCTCTTATTACCTTTTGTTTAAATAAAGGAAAATGTGACGTTTACTCGACATTGCCTCGATGGCTCAATCGGGTTTTTCTCCCCGTCCTTTTTCTTCTCGGTTTGACGTGCCTTAACCACCGGTTCGAGACCTTAAGGTCGGTTTTCCGTGGTCGTGGCTAATTAGAACGCGGCGGTGCGCGACCAATTGTGCCGTGCAAACGACGCCGCCTCGAGGGAAACCACTAAGTCTGAGAAAAGGGGAACAGGGGGATGCTTCGTTGGCTCGATAAGTTTTCCAGGGTCTGCTTTTCCGGCCCCTTCCCCGGCCTCTGGCCGACTCGTCGTTGTTTCCTTCGATTCGATTTCAAGTTTCGATCTAGCCGGCCGCTCGCTCCAATTAAATAGCGGCGAACCGATGTCGCCCGCCGTTTCTTAACTACTCCGTAATCACCGTGAAGTTGTCTCTTTACTCCGGAGAATTGAGCGAAAATCCGCCACGGATTACCCCCTTAAAAATTTGCATTCATTTCTTTACCGAAATCCCGCCCTCGACAATCGGGAATTTTCTATCCTTGAAATATTTCTTAGCGGTTGTTAATGGAAAATCGAAAATTAGAAATTATGAGAAATTCGGGCACACTTCGTAGCCGACCTCTTGATGCGCGAACGGTGGCGGAGCATTGGGTTCAAGGTAGGAATCGATTTGCACGTGGGACGGCCTCATGAATTGCAAGTGAGAAGTGCAACCAGACTTCGTATCATTCCCCCCCGGTGTTGTTTCCAAATGTTGTAAGAGGTTATAACTTCTGACCGGCGAAGCGAAACCACTGACCCCCCTTCCGTTAAAGTCGGTGCAACGTCGTTACACGAGAAACGCTTTTGATTGCAGCGTTTCGTTTCGAAACCCGCAAGGTATCCTTTGAGACGTGCATTAACGATCGCCACGTCTTGCACCAACCCCTGATAAAGATTAAAAGAAAAATTTCGAAATCGACACGGAGGTGCAATTAAATATTTTCCCTAATTTCTAAGGTGATTACTATTTAAATTACGCCCGTAGTCTTGGAAAGTACTATGAAAATTCATTATTAAACGGTGCAGTCGGTCGCGAAGTCGGACGCACGCAACAGTCCTAGATCAGAATCGCTGTCACCGAGAAATCCGCGCGTCCGCGTTTCCGGCCGCGTTGGCGCAGAAATTATGGAGCCATTTCGCAAGGTGAGTGTATGATAATGCGCGCGTAATGTTGACGCATCACCGGCGGGGATGATTTAAAGCGATGATCGATGGGCTCGGTCGAGTCGTACGGCCACCAAAAGGCATGAAACTGGGATTCCAATCAGCGAATCCAGTCTAGAGAGGGAACCGCTTTCGGCTACTTTACCTCTAATTGGTATTTTTCAAAATGATTACGGGATAATCGGTCGATACGTGAGCAATGACGCGCGGGATTATTCAACGGGATCGTAAACTCGGTCTGTTCCTAAGTTTCGCGAAGAGGTAGAAAACTCGGATTTTGACTTAAAAAAAAAAAAAAAAAAAAAAAAAACGTGATTGTA